TTCCTTCCCTTCCTTCCCTTCCTTCGCTCCGTCCCAGCGAAGTTTCCCCAAGCTATTTTCCCTTCCTTCCTTCTTCCTTCCTTCTTCCCTTCCTTTCCTTCTTCCTTCCCTTCCTTCCCTTCTTCCTTCCCTTCCTTCCCTTCCTTCCCTTCCTTCCTTTTCCTTCCTTCCTTTTCCTTCCTTCCTTTTCCTTCCTTCCTTTTCCTTCCTTCATTTTCCTTCCTTCCTTTTCCTTCCCTTCCTTTCCTTCTTCCTTCCCTTCCTTCCTTCCTTTTCCTTCCTTCCTTTTCCTTCCTTTTCCTTCCTTCCTTTTCCTTCCTTCCTTTTCCTTCCTTTTCCTTCCTTTTCCTTCCTTTTCCTTCCTTTTCCTTCCTTTTCCTTCCTTTTCCTTCCTTTTCCTTCCTTTTCTTTCCTTCCTTTTCTTTCCTTCCTTTTCCTTCCTTCCTTTTCCTTCCTTCCTTTTCCTTCCTTCCTTTTCCTTCCTTCCTTCCTTCCATCCAACACATCTCCGTCGACCACTCAGTCTCGCTCCCCCGCGGCGAGTGCAACTAAACGAGAACCCAAGCATCGGAGATGCTTTTGGGGAAAAAAAAATATTGAACATGGCCATTTATAGTGAGTTTTCCCATTAAAAATTGTGATTTTCCATAGTTATGTTAGTTTACCAGAGGGTATCATCAGGTTCTCATCACTTGTCATCGGCTTCATCGGCTCCAGCACCAGGATGCCGCTGCTGCACTGGGCAGCGAGGTGGAAGACATGGGCTTTGCCACCGGCACCTTCTCAGCCACCGGCCGGCCTCAGAAATAGCGGAAGTGGCAGCTGCTGTGAAACTTGTACAGAGCACCGCAGATCCTGGCAGGTTTTGAGACCCTGAGATGAGATGATATAGAATGATATTCTATATTTCTAGCGATTTCGTAGTGTCCATAGGTTTCTGAGATGAACACGTCAAACAAAAACATAGGCTGCTTGCTCGCAGCATCGCTGCTTGCTCTAGTCGCTCTAGTCTACTTTGCTACCTCAATCTTGGGTGTCGGCTGACATCGGCTGACCTGCCTCATCCTTCGATTTCAACTGACGCGTCGCGACTCATTCTGTGGCCGTGACGCATCGTCACAGCAGCTGCAGCTGGATAAAAGAACTTTGTGGAGAGTTGGTGAGCTCGAATCGAACAAAATCCATTGCAATCAGACTTACACTGACATACATACATACATATATATATACGTATTTCATTTCATGATGATGATTGATGATGATGATGATGATGATGAAGATGAAGATGAAGATGAAGGTGCTGCTGCTGCTGCTGGTGGTGATGACGATGATGATGATGATGATGATGATGATGAAGGTGTTGCTGCTGCTGCTGGTGGTGATGACGATGATGATGATGATGATGATGGATGATGACGACGACGACGACGACGATGATGATGATGATATGTACAGTAAGTATATAATGTATATACAGGCTGCCCAAAGTGGGGTTCAGAGTTCTGGATCGGAAATGAAGGGCACCACACCTCTAAAAAGCCTGGCTCAGGACAAAGACTCTGTTGGCCAGCGGACCCCAGCTGCTGCTGTTGTTCCGAGATGACAAGATGGTGACCCTCAATCTGTACGACTCATGTATCTTTTGGTTCCATAGTTGGATCATGATGTAGAAAGATGTACTGAGAGCTTTGATTAAGAAAGATGTACTGAGACAATCTGAGACATGTTGGGGATGATGTCGCTGATGTCACTAGCAGTTCCTTGCATCGGAATTGACATACTCTCTTTTCGTTGTCATGCTTTGTAGTTTTGTCGATATTTGTTCAAGATGTTCTTCCTTGCATGTTTGCTGTACATCCCAGCGAGCATGTGGAAGAACATGCTGCAACAATTTCCTAAATGTTTTAGTCCGGATGTATATGATACTCTTGGCATATCTTGGCTCCAGCATCATGCCATGAGTGAGAGCTTGTTGTGGGATTGTAGCCATATCAACATCCCAGTGAAACTGCTTAGTTTTATCACCGTCTACAAGTTCATGGAGCGTTGTTTCTCATGGTGTTGCAGAGGGAGCGAGAGAGACAGAGATCAGACGTCACCAGCTTGGACTCACCAGGGCCATCGCCATGGCGGCGGTTTTCCCCAAAGATAGTTGCTGGCAATACAAATGTCCTTTCCGAAAGACCTGGGTCGATGTGAGCAAAGAAGAGGACCGCCAACTGAAGGAAGCATATCGCTCGTTGCCCAAAGGCGCCTGGAATTGGATCGGGCTGTGAGTACCAGGGGTTGTTCACTGCGCAATGCATTATGAACAGCATGTCAGGACAGAAAACTGCCGTTGCATCGCGTTTGTGATTGATTCCTGACTTGCGCTTAGATAGTCCTACAATCCCAGATTTGCTTGAGAAAATGGATTAATGATCAATGCTTCATCATGCATTTGGGGTATTTGGGGGTTGCTGACACCACAGGTGGCTATCCTGTGGCAGTATGCAACGTTGGCACTAGCAAGTTCTCCACGGACTTCCAGACGATGATTCGCACCAATGTGGCCAGTATGCCACCATTTGCTATAGATACATTTATTACATTTTCAGTAAAACCCCAAGGTTTGGAATTTTAGAGTGATTTGATGTTGTTTTCTCATGTTTTTTTCCCCCTGCTGCCCCAAACTCCGGGAAAGTTGGCAGAGGAGGTTGTTTTGAGCGTTTCCTGAGGGGGTTAAACACACAGTGTGCCGCTTAGTCATTGGTCCCATGGACCCCGTTTTCCCATGTTTTCCCTCTAAAACCATGCTTTTTCGTAGTCCATTGCATCCACTTTGTGACAATACATCAGTCCTCACGGGATACTATGACTAATCATGATTGCTGATGAGGTTATTCAAAACGCTCTGGAATAGGCTGACAGTTCTAGAGTATAGCAGTACTTTGGATCATGATGTCAAGAGCGTGGCACACCGCTGCAGAAGGCCCTCGCAAATAAATCATCATGGGTCCAGCCACATTTCATTTTGTTTGAACATTTGCCAAGTTCTTTTCGCCGGGAGCTGCAGGCAAGCGGTGCATGGAGGTTCGACTCCGTGATGGGCCTCTACCCTTCAAACTTCAGGACTCCGCTGAAGAAGCTCCAGCATCATCCAGCTTGGATGGTGACGGGTTGGGTAGCTGGTTCAATCTGATCCAACCCATTACTAATTCTGAAATGCCAAGACGTCTAAAACAAGGAAAAGCTTCAAGAAGTTTAGGACTGTTGTTGCTATAGAATGTTTTATTTATTCGTTTCAGTTGAACTTCATACTTAAGTAAGCTTCTGGGCTCGGGAGTTAGGAACAGATGGCTCCAAGATGGCAAAAGCGGCCTTTAGAAAAAAAAACAACAATTGAGAAGCAATAGTCCAATATGCCATAGATGAGACACGAAACCATGCTTTGTCATGTTTAGCCTTGGGCAGATCAACAGGTCAATGCTCTAGAGTGTTTCATTCCTGTCAGTTTGTTCATTCCCAAGCCACCTGTAAATTTTCTGAAAACCTGATACGACACAGCGAGTGACTGAAGGATTCTTGAATGGCTCACTGCTAAATTTCCATCAATGTCCCACCAACTTTTGATGGTCAGCTCATTGATTTTCAGCCCTGGTGCGATGCGAATGGAATTCTCAGCGATCGCCTCCTGAGGCATCGCCCCTTGTGACCTTGAAATGGATGGTAAAAAGGTGCCACACTCTGCTCCTTGGACCTGCGACGAAGGGGTTTTTCAGTGAAGCCTGGAAAATAAAAGCCATGGAAAATCCGAAGTAGAAAATCCCGGAGCAAGATTCTATTTCTGCAGATGATTCACATTGCTTTGCCATGATTTACTTGGGATAACTTGGAACCCTCTAAGGTGACAACTGATATGTGCAACGCCAGGGTCATACTCCGCAGTCCGGATGCGGTCCGGTTGAATCGAATCGATTCAGCGACTGTCAAATGGCTGGAAGTTTGCATGTTTACCCTCTGGTAATTTAAGATAGCTATTGAAAATGGCCCATTTATAGATGATTTTCCCACTAATACCTCCATTTACAAGGAATTTTCCATTGCTATGTTAAATAACCAGATGGTACTATTCAAATAGGCCCTTCTTTGCACACAATTTGACCTTTCTGTCGCCTTTTTGTGTTGCCAAGGTTCGCAAAGCCTGGGGTCAAGGGATCGAAGATGGCATCACAATGAGTGGACAGTTTGAATTTACACTAGAAGCACCTTGGATGCCGCGACGACGCGACGTTTTTCGAAGCGAAAACATTCATGCATGTCAAACAGGCGCTTCCAGACATATGCACATGATATGATGCATGTGCGTATAATATTGTATAACATTATGGTATAATTTAATATTGTATAATAATTGTATAATATAATATAATATAATATGTCTCTATGCATGTGTGCATATGAGTGTTGATGTACATAAGTGATGCGTGAATCATCTATATGGCGTACATTCATTTTGCATGCGTATATTCATTGAATCTGGTATACAGTATACATAATATCGATTATATATACCCTCTGGTGAACTAACATAGCAATGGAAAATCACAATTTTTGATGGGAAAATCCACTATAAATAGCCATTTTCAATAGCTATGTTAAATTACCAGAGGGTATATATACATACATTCTGTTCCGAAAAAAAATCTCGGCTGTTCACTGTCACAGCATTCTTTCGAGGCAACGGAGAAGGAGTGCTTTGGCGAGATGCTTTCATGGAATATACTCGCTGCAGGGATCTTGCCGCAGAACCTGGACAACCGCTGTTTGAAGTTCATCGGCTCAATGGGGGAAGCTGCAATGGAGCCCATTTGGATTGGGAAAATGCTTGGTGAATACCTGGTGAATGTTGGTGACCCTGAAAGATCCGAAAAGATGTGGAAAATGGGGAAAGCCATTCGGAAAATGATCCACAAATGGTTGGTTCTTCACATCTATCTTCAGTTACAGGAGGAAAAACATGGAAAAACATGATGAGACCAGTGATGTCAAACTCACGTTTATCATTATTATATTATTTGACTCTAATATGGTAAACCGGTAAACCCATAAACCATCCAGAATCTTGCCAGAAATGTGCTCAAAACATCCCCAAATGGGAGGTTTATGCCATTGGGTTGCCGTCCCTAGCCTACAGAGTGAACATTGCCTGATCAAGTCTTGATCTGATCTCAAACTTTCCATCGGTATTACTGTACTACTATGTGCTACTGATTTTAGTGTTTCCAAGACTACTTGTCCTTCTTTCTTCACATGGGCCAAGGTTCACAAGTGCACAGGGAGACGAAAGTATGGGCAGCAAGAAAGAGATTGCGAAGATGCTGGCGAATCCTCGGGCCTATCCAATTCACATCTCCTATAAGCCGCATCCAGCGTTCCTATTTATGCCCCGTGAGCAGGTTCAGCATATTGAAGTGCAGAGAACATTCCTGAAGATGGTAAAGGAGGCAGTGGCCGAATTGGATGGAAACTTGGACAATGTCAAGCACAAGCATCAGAGGAGGACATTTGAGAGGTACCTTCTCTATTTAGAGGATCACTATTCTCAAACAGGCGATGATTTGAGTGACGCTCTAGATATGGAAACATGTGTGAAACTCTATCCCGAGACTGCCTTCGGCTTTCTGTTGATCAGCAAGACGGGCCCGGGTCTTCCAAAGATCCTTCGTGGAGAGATTGATGTGCTGGAATACTTGTTTGGTGGATAATGTTTCTTTATTTTTCCTTCACAAATCCATAAAATGGATATAAATGGATGATGTTTTCTTCAATGCATATTTGTTTGGTGGATGATCATGATGATCCAGTGGATGATGTTTCATTTTGTTCATTTACTGCAATGGATGCTACCTAGAATCATGGACGCATTTTCGTGGGGTGGAAATCCACCAAGACATCCGTCGCGGCGCTTCAAAATTGGCAGCTCTGCCTGGCTTGACCTTGGAAAATCCATGAAAATCCAGACCGTGTCACATAGGCTGGCTGTGGCCAGAAGTGCAATCTTCACATGGCTGGTTTCATAGGGAGATCCGAAATGATGGTCAGAAGCGATTCGTACATCTAAAGTCATCTAGATATATCTATTTCATTCTATTTCATTCTATGTCTATATCTATTTCTATATCTATATAAATAAATATATATATATATATCTATAAATGTATATATCTTTTTCTTTTTTTTTAAAGATCTTTTTATATATATATATATTATCTAGATATATAGATAAACCTTTCCTTTTTCGGGATTTCACTGGGACACTTCGCAGAGCTTCAGCGTAACCTGCCCAGGCTCGTGTGCGTTGGCTGGTGGCTTCAGGCCAAGTCACGCAAGCCAATGAGGTGAGTGGCTCCAGTCATCTCGAGTCTACCCCAAAATGGTGCTTTTTTCATGGGAAATCACCTACCCTCTGGAAATTGAACGTAGCTATTGGAAATGGCCATTTATAGTTGATATATAGTTGATTTACCCATTAAAAATGGTGATTTTCCATAGCTATGTTAGTTTACCAGAGGGTATCACTGGGAATGGTAACCATACCACACATATATGGTGTTGACTGGGGGATGGTACAGATGGCATTGTTTTACCATGTTTTACCCACATGACTGTAGATGAGTGGGTGTGTCTGAAACTTAGGGCTGACCCCAAAATGGTACTTTTAATGAGGGAGAATATATGAAAATATGGGGAATATTAATGGGAAAATGATGACCATCCATTAGAAATGGGGATACCTACACCTAAAAGATTCCACATCCCAAACACTTGGAACATGTGGGAACCTGTTGGACATGATGTGGGAGAAAACTGTTTAAACAAAACCTCGTCAAAAAGCTTTCCGATCCTTGTTGGAGGCCCGTATGCTGTGAAATGGTGAGTCCCAGTTTTTTCAAGTATCGATTAATTTGAATGATCAATTACCACTTGGGATGTTGCGTTGCTTGACTGTGCCGCAACGCCACCGTTTTCTCATGGATCTTTTGAGCGCTATTATGCAGCAAGCCCCATGGGCATTTGCGCCCCACGTCCACTGACATTTGGAGCACCAAGTATTGCAAATAGTCACCAAACATTGCAAAATATTGCAAATGATTACAGTACCCGTTGTCACTAGTCAGCGGGATTTATCAAGTTGCCTGGTCCCAATGCGATATTCGGATATGTTCACAAGTTCCTAATGGGATATGATCGATGCATGCATACATTATGCACCATATGATCTAATTGAACATGTAAATACACTGTGTATTATATATACAGGTGTGTATCTTTGGGCCTTTTTAACATCTGGAAGTCAGTGGGTGGTAAATGTCCCTTTTGGGGGATTTCAAACATCACCTTCAAGCATCTGGTGACCCTGGTAATTCTACATTAGGACATTTACCAGTCCCTGTTCTAATGGATTCTAATTAATGGTAAATCCTCCATTTAGTTCGATGATTTTCCAAGCGAACTACCCTCTGGTGAACTAACATAGCAATGGAAAATCACCATTTTTAATGGGAAAATCCACTACAAATAGCCATTTTCCATTGCTATGTTAGTTCACCAGAGGGTAAACCTCCAGGTATACCCCTCGAAGTTTCAAGAAATGACCCCTGCCCCCTCTCCACCAAGATCTTGTTGCTCTCTTTCAGCCGCGCAGCCTGTGATGAGTCGAAGCCCTGGAACTCCGAGGGCTCCAAAGTGGCAGGAGTTTGCACCGGTGCTTGGGGAAGTATGGACAAATCATGGCTAAAGTTTTTGCCTGATTAATAATGTTATATATATATTATAGACAAAGCTGATATATATATATATATATATTATACAACTTGATATGATTGGGAGTGTCTAAAAATGTTGGATTTACCGGCACTTTATGCCAATGTTCCGAATGTTTATGGGGAAATTCAATGATAAACTAGGGGATGTCGTTCCTGTTGATGCCATCGGCCCCCATCATCTGTGAGGCTTCGGCAACGCTTGCGAGCTTTGGACAGAGGCACTTAAAACAGCGGTGGGGCGGTGAGTATGTGTGAGCCTTCACAAGACTTGAGCTGACTCAAAACATGACGATCATGGCTTAGTTTCTAGTATAATTAGTTTGGTTATTCATGGTTATTCTTGCATACTCACATATTCACTCCAGGTACGGGATGCAACCGGTTGGCAACCGTGTAAAATGAAGCTCTTCCCAGGGGTGTGTTGATCATCAGAACAACATATTTTAGTCTTCCAGGACGTCCGTTTCTGCCAGGCCTGTCCGCGGCTGTGAAGGTGGCGACCTCGATTTCAGGCGGTTGATGGAGTCTACCTGAAGCTATGCATAGCTGGTCTTTTTTGGCATTTGTGGCGCGCATGGGTTATATCATCAGCCTTCAACCATTGGTGTTTCTCAATGTTTTTTCCCAGCACACTGTATGAGATCTCCGCAGGGGTTCCCAGGTTCGCAGCCAGAAAATTCGGACCTTTTGGGGGCCAAGGGTTGGAAGTTGCCAAGGGTAAAAGCCTCACTGAACTGATTTCAAGCAAATTTGGTGGTCCACACCTTGGCACATCTTGGGTTGGGATGTTCACCCCCTCCATCCCCATGGTTCCACGGTTCCACGGTTGTGTTCCACATATGGTTCCATCCCGTGCCCCAGGTGAAGACGTTCCACAGTTTTGCCTTGGATCTCTTTCGAAGCCACCGCCAGGCAGTGGCACTGACCATCACCATGTGATGATATGTAACTGTATATAACTGTATATATAACATAACTATACATATATATAAATATAATATAATATAATTATATTATATATATATAGACACTAACTATATCTACGTATAGTATATATATACATATATAGTGGGCAAATATCACATCATGCTAAGGAATGATCACCTTGTTGATCTCGTTGTTGAATGCTCTTGGGTGTCTTCACTGGAAAGCACTTCATTTCGATGGATTTCTGTGGCCGTTAAGCTTCGAAACCGAAGCAGTAGAGGGAAGCTCAAAAAGCGGGCGATTGTTGTTTCCGAAGCTTGGCTGCAATGCTGATGGTCACAGATCAAAATTCTTCCTGGTCGTCGGTACTCTGCAATAATCCCATCCCCCATTCATATTAAACACCACCAAAAAAACATCCAAAAACCATGGGTTTAGTAGGGATTTGCATATTTTTGTTTGGCCTGAGGCCTTGTTGAAGGCGCCATTTTTAGCACCGCTTTTTTTTTGCATCTCTCCGAGGCCCAACATAGATGGCTCAGTTCAGCGATGATGCCTATAACACACAATTCCCTGGCTGGTGATGGCTGGTGATTTAAATGATTAAAAATTGCTTCTTCACCATGGCCTAATCCTGATGATCCTGGACTTTCCAGTGAACACCAATTCTCCCAGTTGACTTGTACTGTGAACATTTGTGAACATTCACTTTCATATTTTCAACATTCCGAAATTCACCACCAAGCAGTGCTAAGCAGTTCAGGAAAAAAATCTAAGCCTGCAGCCTGCCTTGTCGGCTCTCAGGTTACAACCTGACACTGGGGCTTGGGGCCTGGCACTTCCATGCACAGCAGGGATTACTGTGGGTGTGGTTGCAGGGGATGGGATGGGGCATTTAAGGCTGGCACACTGATTGGAAACTGGTTTGAGGACGGGCAACGAAGGGGGCATCATTCTGGTGGATCCCATCTGGCAATAACGCAAACCCACTGCAGGAGCGGGCCCTTCGTGATTCCTCTGGTGAGGGGCGAACGGTGCCACAGCGTTGACGTCTCAGTTGAAGATGGCTGATGCTGGGCAGATGAGAGGAACATGCATGATTAATCGTATCAATGCCAGTCACCAAATTTGCAGATCCATGTTTGAGATATCCAAGCATGCCTGCGTCACATGAAGGAAGCCCACAATGCTGTGTACGAGTCAACATGAGTCAACAAAGTCTTGGATCAGAATGACAAGACGGAACCAAGAAAGCAAGGACTGATCCTATATGTGCACACCGAGGGCTTCCATCAACCATTGTTTTTTTTTTTTGACATCGTTTTTGAATATTGGTAGAGTTTCACCGAGTTTTGTTTTTACATGGATGTTTACATTGCTTTTAGATATTTATAGAATATTATATTTGGTTGGTGGTTTGGAACATTTGTTATTTTTCCATATTATTGGGAAGAATAATCCCAACTGACTAATATTTTTCAGAGGGGTTCAAACCACCAACCAGATATGGTGTGTGTGTGTTTTACTTCCTGTTCAATCCATGATCTTTCTGAAGCCCTGGTGCGCTTGAGGTCACTTGCCTCGATCAGGGCTACTGAAAGACTGGACCAAAGTGCCACCGCAGCCCAGGACTGCATGAATCCAATAAGAATCAACAAATCATTATAATTCATCATCATCATCATCATCACCATCACCATCAGCATCATCATCACCATCATCATCATCATCATCATCATCATCATCAGCATCATCATCATCATCATCAACAACATCAACATCAACATCATCATCATCATCATCATCATCATCATCATCATCATCATCATCGTCATCGTCATCGTCATCGTCATCGTCATCCTCATCCTCATCCTCATCCTCAACCTCATCCTCATGGTCATCGTCATCGTCATCTTCATCATCATCATCAACATCATCAACATCATCATCATCATCATCATCCTCATCATCATCATCATCCTCATCCTCATCATCATCATCATCATCATCACCATCACCATCAGCATCATCGTCATCATCACCATCATCATCATCATCATCGTCATCATCCTCATCGTCATCGTCATCGTCATCGTCATCGTCATTGTCATTGTCATCCTCATCATCATCATCATCATCATCATCATCGTCATCGTCATCGTCATCCTCATCATCATCATCATCATCCTCATCCTCATCGTCATCGCCATCGTCATCGTCGTCATCATCATCATCATCATCATCATCATCATCCTCATCCTCATCGTCATCGTCATCGTCATCGTCATCATCATCATCATCATCACCAACATCATCATCACCATCACCATCACCATCACCAACATCATCAACCACTATCAATTATATAAGTTATATATGGAGTTATATTTTAAAAACATGTAAGAACTTTTACTTTATTATACATGCACAACCATATGACCGTCGTCCCATTTTCATCTACAAACCTGCGGCGAGTCGCCGGAAGTCGACTCCCGCAGGAAAGGCGACGACACCTTCGACCGTGTCTACGGGCCAAAGTCATCGCTCGAGTGGGAGCCGGCCTCGAACGCCATTGGCAAGGCATCGACGACGCGGGGAAGACGGGGGTTTCCATGTGATGGGGGTACCCCGCTGGATTGTGTATAATGGAAAATCCATGAAAATCCTATAAACAAAATTGTAAGATTTGGGTGTATCCCCATTTCAGGAAACCTCCAGATCATGGGAATTTAGAGGAGAATATGATGGTGGTGGTTTCATTCACAAGCTGAAAATGGAGGTTGAAACACCATGAGTTGGGCATATAAGCAATTTCAAGGGGATGGTGCTGGCAGGATCACAGTTTCAGATTTGAGTTTCCAGCGCATGCGACAAATGGGATGCTGGTTCCAGTTGACTTTTTTTTTGGGGCATCGGTGGCTTTGGAAGCTAAGCTGCTACAGGTTTTCCCCTCCAAGATTTTCCAACAAGAGTGATATGCCTGCCATCACAATCCATTGAGCGCACGAGTCCAAACGGACACCTCGCATTTCGACAATTTAGACTAAGCATGCAAAACTCGGGTCATTCTCAAATGGCACTCCAGAATGATTCATTTTTGTCCTTTTGGGCAACATTCGCAGGGTACCAGTGGGTACCAACAAGCTCAAATGACCCCAACAATCTCCCGCAGGTGGACAACTCCACTCCGAACATCATGATGGATGGCCCTTTGGATGTTGCCCTGAAGACAGCACACCACGAAGGGGCGGAGATGGATGTGCAGACCGAGGCAGCTGAGCGGGCGAAAAACAGGGACACTGAAGTGCAATTTGATATCAGACATAAGTTTTTAAAACAGTGTTGTCATTTTTCCCCAACGCTACGCCGAGCCTAATGGGCCTAATGCCAAGACTCAAAGCCTTAAATTAGGGAGATTTTGTGCGCATTTTGAGTGTGAGCCGCGAATCCTAGACTTTGGTTGCCACTGGTTTGTCAGGAGGGAATTTTAGAGGAGGTGAATCACGCTGCTTGGCTTCCAGGAGATGGGCATATGGAGATGGGGATGGGTAATGGGGACATAAGATGCTCAAGCTGAGGCTCGATATTTTGAGACCACCACAGGGGTCGGTCACCAGAAGCCCGACTACACCGTGGCAAAGAAGGCGGGATCGGGAAGCCGAAGCGCGGTTCTTCAACTCTTGGATGGGCGATGGTGGAAGCCTGAAGGAGCACTGGTAACATTTGCTAACTTTGGGGTAGCATTTGGCACCACAGGAAGTGATTTCATGGGTTTTCATTTCGAGATACCGGAAGAAGGTTGAAAAGTTGAAAACGGCATGAACCATTACGTGGATGAACGTGTGAGACAAGTGGGGAAAGTTGAGCAGTGTAGATTTAGTATGATTTAGTGTAAAGGATTGACCATGGTTGGCCTATATTGTAAGGCAAGCAACGTAGAACAGCAACATGGACATCTTGGGTCCAGACATGAAGGTTTCTTAAAATGGGTGTAATTACCTCCAAATCGTCCAAAAGCCGATTTTACGATGACAATTTTAGATAATATATTAGATAATATGAGTAATTTACTTTATTGAAAACCATGGTTTTTGGGGCTCCCAAAGTTTTAAGAAATCCCCACATGGTTGTCATTGCAGCAAGACCTTGCAGGCATCTCACACGTCGAGACTTGGTTCGGACAGTGCTGATGCTGAGGCCCTAAGGAGGCGCTTTACATATGAAATATCATACAATGAATGGTGAAAAAATACATTAAATATGTTAAATAGATGTCAACACTGGATTTTATATTACAGCATGTGCATATATATATATATATATTATATATATATATCTGTGTGTGTGTTATATGTAGATATGATACATATAATCAATGTGTTATATTATGCATATGCACAGCACAAAGAAATATCCTGTCCAAATCGTTTGTGATGGGGATGCTGAATCACCGCAGAAAATTTGTTGAGCTGGACATGTTCCACCCAGGAAGTGCTACGAACAAGAAATCCGCTGTGGACCGGAACCTGATGTGATGCCAGCCCTTGAAAACACAGGCGGAACATGGCGGAGCGCCTTAAATGTGCTGCAATCACCATTTTTCTGACCCAAGTGTGAGCATTTTATTGGGGAATATGATGGATATATATATATATATGTGGATATTCATGTCCAAGATTCAAGATCGTTGAAGTTCCAGGCACTGGCATCCCAGTTCCAAAAATATGAGGACAGATAAAAACCAGTGGCTTCGGTGACTTGCCAGGCCTAGAAGTTCCGTTCCACGCCCACTATTCGCGGGTGGATCAGATCACCAACACCAGGACCCAGTCTGTCCATATCGCTAGCTGGTTGGGGGTTGCAAACATTTACGAGCTGCGAGTTTTTATCACTATGATATTGTTTCTGACATTACAGTCAATCATATCAGTTTTATCCAGTTTTCATGTGTTTGCTCTCATATGTGTTACCCTTTTGTAAACAAACATAACTATATGGAAAATCACCATTTTTTGATGGTTAAATCAACTATTTCTATGGCAATCTTCAATAGCTTTTTGTATGTTTACCAGAGCCATGACGGATCCATGGTGCTGGTATATATATGCTAACATAAAGGGGGTATATTGAGTATATTGATGGTAAATATTACATAATATTACCATATATAGCAGCACCACGGATCCTATGGGAGAGGGTATTTGATGATCCCTCTGGGGAATCCGCAGGATGTTCATGGCTGACAAAGAGTTCCGGGGCAACGTCGCAGCCTCCGCTCCCACCGGCGCCTCGCATGGGAGCCATGGAACCCGGGGGAGCAACTGACCACTTGCTTCGATATATGCTTGGAGAATGTTAGATATATCATATATCTGGGTAAATTATTATCCCCAAATGGCCGGAAATTGAGGTTAGTGGAATATTATAGAATTTATCCAGATATATGGTTAGTGGTTGGATATTGATATGTGGTTGATTATAGTTCCGGTTGATTCATAGCTCTTCAGAAAGCATAGAAAGCATATTGGACTTCCATTGGTCAATTTCGATTGAACCGAATTAGTACTGTACAAGATACTTCAGGCTTGTGTCAAACTGATAAGGCACCATGCATCAGCAAATTTGACTGGGACTCCATGCTTTGTCACCAGATCCCCACAAGCTGCACGTTTGAAAGTAACGACTCCTCCAGGCTCAAAAGATAAAACATGTTTAAAGATAGTGAAGCCTATGACTCTTACCGGTTCCGCTCATGTCGCTACGACTCATCGATTACATCCGCACGTGGCAGGTGTTGGACCCTTTCATCGAAATGCAGAGTTCACAAAGGCGCGTCAGCTCATGGTCCCTGAAGGGCTCAACATGCTGACCCCATTTTGCACCAGTTGCAGTGGAAAACTATGCTGGAACCTGATTACTTTCCCCAGTATTGAAATTTTGTAATCCTTCATTACAACCTTAGCTTATTGTTACATATTACATTATCACATACTATTAATTAACATACTATATGACTATAGACTATGACAGACTATAACATACTATCACATGTTTGCCAGTCTCTGTCCTTCAATGAACAGCGCTTCTCTTTCGAGGGCTGTGAGAAGTTCATCTTGGCCGTCCACAAGGATGAGGGCCTGAACGCCATGTACGCGGGCTTGAAAGATTTGAATCCCATGAGGCACGGCGATTTTCTGTCGCTGCTTTGGGACTCCGGAGGCCCATGAAAAACCATGGGGACCCATGAAAAACCATGGGGACCCATGAAAAACCATGGGGACCCTGGAAAGCTATAACTTATGGCTATTTGTCACGGACATTAAATATGTTGAAACATGTTGGAGGATTTTGGGAGATTTGGTGCTGGGACGGATTCTGGATGCAACAAAACACCTCCAGACATGGTCTGTAGTCCAAGATCATCAAAAACCAGCCAATGTTAGGAAACCACGTCTTGAAAACAGTGAACTTCACTCCCGACAAGATTTATTTATAATTACTATATTTAAGTATAACTATATATATATGTATATAATTATAAAATTTAATTATATAATTCTGTAATTATATACATATATAAGACCACACACACATATATATATATAATCAGTTTACATAGTAGGTTATAGTCATGTACATAGATCCCCCGCCAGTGCTTTCTCAATTGGGTCCAGGCAGCTGGGTGGTGAACATCCAGCAGCACACTTTGCATTGATCCCATCCTTGGCGGCGCTAAAGGGCACCATCCATCGAAAGGTTCAGGAGGTCAGATCCAGCGAACAAATTGGGAGGTGGATCCATACCTTGGGGAAATCATAACAATTCCATGAAAAATTGGGAAAAAGTGGGAGGTGGATCCATACCAATACCAAGTGAAGGAATTTGGTTTTGGATTTGAGATATAATTTATCAGAATGGTTTTTAGATGATTTTATGTAAAACGATATCATGGGATGTCACTGAATGACTTAATTGGTGTTTCGTCGTGACCCATCACTGATCCAGGTGTGGGGACCTCTGGGCTATGTGAACCTGCGACAGCGTTTGTGCGAATTCTGCGACCACGAAGGCTTGGAGAAGGGTTTCTATCACTGTAGCTGATGGCTAGTAGTTTCTGGTCATTGAAAGTAGCAAGTAACTATTCAAACACAATTTTAAAGAGATTAATCATGTAGATATGTATGAACTGGCCATTTTCGTAGCTATGTTAAATTACCAGATCAGCACCATTGGTGGTCTCAAGAAAGCTTTGGAATGTCCTTTACCCTACCTGGGATTATATCACCACGGGGTCAAGCCATGGAACAGCGCTGTCAGGATGTCCTAGAAGTCTCAGTCAGCACTGAGGCTTTTGCCATCATTGCTGGAGTCAAGTGGGGTTTTAGTCTGGGGCGAACATTATGAAACATATGAAAATTAGATGAAAATTGAGCCTTTCAGATCTCCCCTGCAGGTTTCGTCCGCAAGGCAGATGTGGTGGAAGTGTCTTGTCTGAAGCCATGTGGCTATGATTCGTTCTATAAATTTAAGCGGGGCATGGCTGCTGCGGCCTGGAAAGTGGCAAGTAAAGCACAGAAAGGAAATCTCTATTGAAGTCCACCACTGTTCAGCATTGGCACGAAACTACTCAAAAGTTGTATCAGGCTTGATTACTTGTAATGTGGGAAACCTGCCATAAACCTACCATAAACGGGGATGGTTTGTACCACCGATGGTGATGACTTGGGGGTCACTTGGCCGGAAGTCCGTGGTCAGAGCTGCTATTTGCGGTAGCACCAGTCGTGGCCAGTGCTCCCAAATTGGCCCACTCATGGCCCACTCGTTTTCTATCAAGATTTAACATAGGCATGGTATAGATGGCCCATTTATAGATGGCTTACCTATAAAAAATGGTGATTTTCCATGGCTATGTTAAATAACCAGATGGTAATTCAAGATTAGTGACCTCGGATTTTTACATCATCGATGTATATCATGTACATCTACATATATGTGTATATACTGTACATATTTCATGTTCATGATGGTCACGGTTACAAAAAATGATAATACCAACATTTTCAATAATGTATACAGTCACATAGCGTTATTAACGTTGCTTAGATTCAGGTGCTTCGTGAAACCCTGGGCATCTCAGAGGACGAGGTCGGCAGCAAGCCATTGGATGCCACTTGGCGTCGAGGTCGGTGCCACAGGGCAGGCCGTTGGTGCAAACAACTCCAAGAACGGTGGGTTTCATGGCATTTCATGGTAGATATCTGGTTGATAAACGATAGTTAGACATATTATGGTTTTAAAGTTTGTGGTGTATCAATATATATATATATGTGTGCGTGTATATCCTATGATTTATAATCCAACTTGGTGCGTGCACCCACAGCTTGTTGGTAGAAATCTGGCTTCTTCCCGGTGGCTGAGGCCCTGGGCAACCAAAAATCGTCATCACCTGTTCTTAGTGGTTTAAATATCGTTTGGATTATGGTTTGGATGTACTTCCATCTTCATGCAATTGTATAAGCCGCCCCCCTAACCATCAAACACCCCCACAGAACCCATGCTTTAGTCATGGAATATCTATTCCTCCTTGTCACCCAAAGAGAAGGCTTGATATGATCAGGGATGATGGAACACTATCATTGATCGATATTGATGTGTAGCACGTGTTTGTCAATCTCCCCATCTTTGCTGTTTGAATTCCATTATTTTTCGGGCTTGGGCCTTTCGACCCCGGTTCTTGATATTTCATGGGATTTACATTGGATTTACAACTTGGGCCAAAATATATGAGAAACTAATAGAAAAAATATCCCAAAATACCCCAAAATGTAATTTTTCAGATGAGGTAAACTACCCCAAAATCTTGCCCTAGAAAAAACCACTGGACCTCGACCCCGACCCCGCCATCCAATAGCTTCGAAAGAGTCGAGGTATGGCTGTCTCAGCTCACCACCATGAAGAAGGCGCTGAGCTGATGATGTCACCATCATTATTTGTTTTTGGATGGGACCCATACGGTATACTATACATTTATGTAGTAGTTATACTATGTTATACTCTATATTCGTGCTTGGAGGTTGAAAAAAAGTTTCAGTTGTTGTTTTTTGCATGTTCCATTCGCAAGTGGGCTGATGAGCGTTAAACAAATTGAGCTCCCTGGTGGTTCAACCAGCATCCAAGAGGATAGCATCACCTGGGCTTGTTGCGTATCACTCCATCTCATGGCACTCTAAAAATCATCAGAAATAATCAACGATCCATCAATATCCCCACAATTCAGTCAGATGGCCGTGGGAGAAGAGAGAAGAGAGAGATGATATTACCATCTGGTTATGACTAACATAGCCATGGAAAGATCCACCATTTTTAATAGGTAAACCATCTATTTCTATGGGCCATCTATACCATGGCTATGTTAACCAAAGGGTAATATAAACTGACCAAACAATGCATGGACAAAATCATCAAACATCCGCCGTTTTAACGGCCTAGGACGAACTGAAAGCTTCGACCTTGATGATCTCCTTACGACCAGCCTTGCCGCAGAAGGTGGGGCTGGAAGCAGCTGGATGTAGCTGGCTCCAAGGGATTTTACATTACTGATTTCACTGGTTCATCATGGTTATTCACTATACTTCTCCTACCAAAATCTTGGGAAAACATGCGACAACTCTAGAAATCCACGGGTTCATCGTGGCTTAATCAATAGTTACCCCTCTAAGCATATATAAATTCATGTTGGGGGATGTTGGGGGTCCCATTTTCAGACACGCCCACAAATTGCCATCTAAATCTGCTACCATCCCCCCAACTCATCATTGCGTGATGATCCCGATATGAAGGGGTTGACACTGCGATTCACCACCAAGCAGAAAGGATTGCTGCCCGGGTGTTCACATCAAAAAAAGCTGGTTGTGATGGGTGAAAATGCATGTTCATGCTCCCAGATATGGTTCTAAAATGTTTTGAAGCAGTTCGTCAAGATGAAGTAGACCTCCAGTTTTTGATGGTTTTCCAACATGTGGGCTATCCGGGCTATCCAGTTTTGATACCCTCTGGTAAACTAACATAGCTATTGAAAATGGCCATTTATAGTGAGTTTTCCCATTAAAAATGGTGATTTTCCATAGCTATGTTAAATTACCAGAGGGTAGTCACAAACAAGGCCAAGCGCTGCAGCGCGCACTTGGTGTGGTCCTTGCCAGGACAAGCGACGCGTTCTCACGGCCTTCAAATTATTGCAAGGCCCTAGTGGCACCGCTCGCCTTGGTGATTGGTTGCAGAGGCCGCGAGCCACATGTGGCAGAATCATGATCCGGAGAGGTCAGTGTGATTTGCATTTTGTTTTTGTTTGGTCTTTCGGAGCGGGGTCGTCCTTGGACATCCCAAGTTCCACAAAAATTCCACTCGTTCCCGTGGCGCAGATTTGGCCCAGACCTGGAAGAAAGTGTGAAGTTCACCTGAGGAGACTTAGGCATGTGCTGCAATCTCTTCAAGATCGATGTACAATGGCCACAGGATGTATCTACCTCACCATGGCTGCCTCAATGGATCTACGTCCTGCTCGTGGGCCTAGTGACCACTCTTTTTTTGGCATTTCAGATCGTACACCTGATGGACTTCTTCCCCAAGTTTGGGTGGTTCTACTTTGTCTTCCTCACCAATTGGGCCTTGGTGCTCGAATCCGTGACACTGCTTTTGCTCTGGGTCTCAACCATTTGGGCATATGGTTCAGCTCCGGGTGAAGGACAGAAAGCACCTCTTTTTGTGCGAGACGCCCTGTCCCTTTGGTACATCATCCAGCCCATGTCGTTGGTTGTGGTGATCCTTTACTGGACTGTCGTCAACCAGTTCTGGGATCCATATGCCATCGAATTCTCGTCCCTCTGGGCACACCTCCTAAATTGGATGGTGTTGATTGTGCATTTGTTTGTGAGCAACCTACCATGGCTCCTTGACCGCACCAATCTGCCGGCTCGCCCCAAACTGGAACCGCCAAGTTTAGACTTCTAGAATCTTCTAGTATAATCCAAGCTGTTCATGGTTTTTGCCACAGATGTATACGAGAAACTTTGGACATAGAACTGAGATGGACACTACCTTGTGTCATAGGGTGACCATTAGTTGGGAGATGTTTGGGGATGAATCAGGAAATGGAACACTGGACCTCCCATCTCAGCACTAAGGTCTTTCAAGAATGGAATTTGGGCCTTTATGTTCTCCGTGGTCTTTGTGATTTGGACGATCATCCACTACTTCTTGGAGATTGGTAAAGGAATTCCATGCGATGACTATGAGATTGAGAAGTGTCCAATCTACAATACTTTTGATTGGAACAAGCCAGGCCAGACCATTGGGATTTGCGTCGGGGCTTCTGTTGCTCTGCTGGTGGTCCTGGGTCTCTACACCGGCCTTTTCCGTTGCCGGGATGCCTGTTCCGGACGTGGCAGGACTTCGACAGGGGAGAAGGATGTTGAGGCAGCTGCGGCATCATAAACAGGGCACCACAGGGCCACGGGTGCACCACGATGATACCACCAGCCGTACAGCTGACATGCTCAGCTTCTCTGCTTGAAGCAGAAGGTTTCTAAATCTGAAGCAACAGCTGTATGGCGATCGCGTTCAAGATTGGACGTCTTTTGCTATTTTTTGCTTTCCTTGTCCATTGGGCTGGTGGTTTTGCGCTGAAAGACAATGTTTTCAGATGCCAGCCAGTCGGAATCTTCAATTCGTCTAAGGCGAAAGAGGCTCATGAATCATTTGAAAGATGTTTGTTGCAAGTGTTGCATCATGTTACATCATGTTACATCTAAGACTCATTTTTGTTGCTTCATCATTTAAAGGCCACTGCCACTGCTGACATTTGAGCTGTGGCAGGCTCGAGGCGGGTGAGATGAAGCAGACGATCATTGTGGCCTTTGGGGCAGAGGATGAGGACCCCGATGGAAAAGTCTGATGTCTCGACCCATTGGTGTACACCCATAGGATCCATGTATGGTATATATGCTAACATTGGGGGTATATTGATGGTAAATGTTACCATATATAGCATACATGGATCCTATGGGACATGAATTGTCCATGAATGATATCCAATAAATTCCAGTAATCACGATTCGCCATGATCAATGTTCCACGAGGAGAAAAGCAAGCGGCGGGGTTTCCTATCCGTTCTTATTTCGCGGATGTGTGCTGAGTCATTTAGCATACCCATCATCTCTAAGATCTCTGAGGGACATGATCCCGCCCTTGATTCTTGATCAATACCGAAACAAGACAAGTTGCAAGTCCGCATCAAACGTCTTAATTATATATTACATTACTCACTCGTTTCGTACAAACGTCCGGATCACCGCGGAACGATCCATACCTGTTTTTAGAGCCATACCTATGTGTGTGTGTATGTGTGTAATTATTTTTACATACATGTGCACACACACACACTGCATACACTGCACACACACATAAATAAATAAATAAATACATTAAATACATAAATACATAAATAAATAAATAAATAAATACATAAATACATAAATAAATAAATAAGTTATGTATATATATATGTTATTGTGTTTTTTCGATCTATACGTGTGGCTTTTGTCCTTTGCATCCAACCACCGTCGTTGAGAAGCGTGCTGAATTTTCGATTCCTTCAAGCAGTGAGCCTTCATAGTAAATATAGAAAGGAGTCCGTTGCGAACACCGCAGTGACCGAGCAAGTCTTCTTGGAGCTCTTCTCCGATTTAGCCGCTTGACGGCAGGGAAGTATTGTCAGATTGCCCGGCTGTTTTACAATTAGTCAGTAGTCCTCAATTTTTTAATCTTGAGCAATCTCGGACATGTTGTTTGGAAAGATACTTCCCAGAATCAACCGAGCCAAAGACCTTGGCTCACCCGCAAAGCTCTTCAGGCACCCTTCACGGAGATTGGCCCCATGTTGGAGTGAGGAAAATGCTGCATGTGATGCCAGAAACGAGCCATGACGCCCAGCACGACTGGTCCATGTCTAGCAGATTTCAAGAGGAACATTTCATCTCCTTCAATACCATTTCTTTGAGGCCCTTTTGCACGTCAAAGGCAAGACCCATCAAGACCCTATATATTTAATATATTTTAATATTATTCAATTGCCTTCGGCAAGCCCGCCGGCCATAGAGAGGTGGCAACCGTAGATCAGGAGCAGCTTGAGTAATCCCTTCCTTCCCCCTATTAAAAAAAACACCTGGCGGAGTTTTTAGTATTTAGTATTAGGGTGCGGAGCCTTTCCCCTAATATTAAATTACAACCCCAAGGTTTTCAATATCGATTAGATTTCCTTGTAAAATCTAATTGAAATATATTGCCGGAAATTAGATTCGAAGCTTTCCCCCTAATATTAAATTGAAAACGCTAATGCCAAGAAATATTGTGCTCTGTTTCAAAATCGATTAGAATTCCTTTTTATAAATCTAATTAAGATATTGAATTTGAAGCTTTCCCCTAATATTAAATTCAAAACCTTAATAAAGAACAATATTTGTTTTTCGACCTTAACAGACGGACCCTTATAGAAAAACACCCGGGTTCGACTAGTTTTTATTATTAAGGGATGAAACCCTGAAATGGTACCTTCATTTTCAATTAATTTGTTTTCGAAAGGGGATCAAATAAAAATCAACTTGGGCGGCCAGAGTGAAATTTCCCAAAATTTAACGCGGATCCTAGTTTTTAGTATTTGGGGTAAGTTTACTAAAAGGAGGTGGGGATTAGTAGTAGTAGTAGTAGTAGTAGCAGGAGTAGTAGCAGGAGTAGTAGTAGTAGTAGCAGTAGTAGTAGCAGTAGTAGTAGTAGTAGTAGTACCGCTAGCTGTACTAGCAGTACAAGTAGTGCTAGTACTTAGACTTAGACCTAGACTTAGGCTTAGCTACTTTTATAGGGGGGAGGGGGGTGGACTCCATTCAGACGAAGCAAAATCGCGTAGCAAGAGAACAAAGGAACAAGTACAAACCAAGAACAGAACAGGAACAACACTTTCCAATCAGACACGCTTGCAGGCCGGCGGATTCACATCTATATCACCAACTTACCCTTACTTTTAGAAGTACTCTGCCGTCAGCTGGCAACATCCCGTGCCTGACCCGCACAGTTATACAATAAACATTCCTACGGGCGGAAAATGTTGGAGGTGGCGAATTGCTGGCAAATCTGCGCAAGAACAGCCAGGTTTCACCAGTCCAGGTCTTCTTTTTGTGTTTTAAAGATGTTATAGACCATAGTTCTTCATCAAATCCCGCAGCTATCAATAGCAGCTATCATAGGGCATGATTTAACTGTAATTCCCAAAAACATGTTGGCCTTGGCGAAATTGTTACTGCACAAGTGGGGAATCCTGGACCCAAATTCCCTCTGTGGGCTAAGCCTGTGGAAAAGTGGCTGCGCACCTTTTCAAAAGAAATGATGCGCGCCTGGGTCACAAGCAACTGTATTATGTCGCAACATGTTGCAATATTTGGGACATTCATGCAGCTTTGGGAGTGACGATCGCCGGGTGGGATGCGGTTTCTTCATGTTTCTTCGCAGCCCTCTTATTTTGGATCAGGCTCTTCTTTGCGAAAGCGTGCAGGGGCTGTTACCTGGAAGGCTGGTCGCTTCAGTTGTGCTTGGCCTTCTCAGCGGCAAACGTGGGGAAGGAATGAGAAGAATCGAAGAGCCATCGGAAAAATTGGAGTGGAACTGGTGCTATATGGTGGTTTCCTTAAAGGGGATCCCCACAGCCGTGGGTTTCAATATTAAAAAGGTCTAATTTGGATGATTTGAGGGTATCCCGATTTTAAGAAACCTCCATATGGGCCCATCATGGTTCATATTGGCTCATGGTTCATCCTTGATGGAGCGCTCGGACTCTAGCCTTAAGCGTTCTTGCAGATCCACAGGCCTCCGTTTTCACACCAAACGTTGGACGCGGAGCTCTCACTTGGCATGTCAGCAATAGAAATGATGCAGTCGCACTGGCTAGACGAACTTGAAATAATAAGGTACTGTAAGAATCTGTATAAAAAATATGCGACCTATTAACGATATCAATCAATCCATAGAATTTTAAGATGAATAAATTACATGCCAAAGTGAAACCAGCGTGATTTTCGTCCCAAGAGCCAACCCATTTTGGATCCTGTCCTGATCTGTGGCATTTCTTCTGTGGCGCCATGGTTGCGCCGCTGGTCATGGCCATTCTGCTGCTGGGCGGGGAACCCGACCGCGACAGCTATGCAGCGCAGCTGTCCTTCGAGTTTCATCCGCCTCTGGAGGTCTTCGCCAGCTCTCCATCCAGTGGAGCCTTAGAACGTCTCAGCGCGGTGGATCGGATCAATAAGCTGGTGCTGTCCTATGAGGCTCGTAGTTTGCCAAGAGGAGATTATGGCTGGTTGATTCATGGTTGGTTCATGGTTGATTCATGGTTGGAGCACCATTCGAGGGGTTTTCTGAGCCAGGGTTTCGATTTATCCGGGTCTAGGGACCAAACAGCATTCAACATGTTGATGTCATCAAGTCATATCAAGTCCGTGTCATGCAGGTTCTTTAGTATTGAGCTTAGAAAGACATGGCCCAGGCATTGGACACGGTCACCAATTTCTCCACCATGATTCCCAGACTTCAGGAGGTGAAGTTGGAGGATGTTGGAGGTAGCCTCAGGTAATAAAACTTGACAAAATGACAATGGAGAAATCCACCCAAAAAATCATAAAAAATCTCAACTATGAGAACTGTGGATTCTACTGGCAGATTTTTTGATATACAGATGATATGTGGGTACAGACCTGGAGCATTTTTTTCACTGCCAGGTTTGCCAGGCAAAGGTGATGCCGATTTGATCAGGGCTGAGGTGTCTCAAGATGTCTCAAGGTTTTCTTGTCTCGCTGGGAGACGCACATCGTTTGGTCTCATAATTCTCATATATAACTGGTGATCTCTTTGGCATGCCTCAGCTCAAGAATGGGATCGCAGTGAGTTGGACATCTGACTATTTGTTCTTTCAGAAAGGATGGTGCTTACATATAGCCGGTATTGTATTTCTTCTACTACTCGTTTGAATTTGCCAAGTTTGGCTTGACCCGAGTTGGCCCGGCGGCGGAGGCTGGTGTGAAGAAGGTGTTGCTGGTCACCTCTTCCTACCACATGCCCCGAGCCAGGGCTATTGCTGGGGTGATGCTGGGTGTAGCTTGGCGACGGCCGACATGGGATGTGACCCATCACATCAGTGATGAAACTGGGCAGGGGGCGAGTCTAGGCCTCATCCCTTTTCCCAGAGGGGTCATATTATTCCAGTACTTAAATTATCTTAAATTATCCTCCTGGACATAGCGACTAAATCAAACTAGTGATTGAAGTTCTACTACCAGGAGTTCCTGCACTGAGGGGCAACAGTGCTGCGGTTTGCCTACGGATATGGCAAATGCATTGCAAATGCTTTTTCCATGTTAGTTTCACATAAGTATTCACTTGAAGAAGATGATGATGATGATGATGTATGATGATGAAGATAATTATATCTTCTACGGACGAAATATCAACTAGGATAGCCCTCGAAATGCAACAGCCGTGGGAAGACGGGAGATTAGAAAGATGTTGCAGGCAACCCGCTTCCGTCAAAAGATTTCCAACAGAGGACGCGGTTCAGGGGATATTAGGCTACTAATTCAGCAGATGCCCCCCCGTACTTTTTGACATTGATCAAATCTCCCTAGGCCCCCGGGCTGGCCCCCTATGTTTTATAGGGAGATCTATGAGATCTGGGAGATCTGGGAGATCTGGGGATCTTACTTTCAGAACTGAGGCCTCGGGGATCGAGTTCGAAGCTCGTGAAGTTGAATCCACCAAGCCGCCTGAGCCGAGATGGAAAATTTGGCGGGTCACTTGGAGCCATCAAATCAGCTGCTGGGTATAGCTGTGACAAAAACTGCGGGACAAATGGTGTAACACTTGGAAGATGGCATGCCCTCACGTTTCAAGGATGGTGCCAAGATTAATCTGGAACTTGCTATGGAAATGAGACTTTGATTTGTAGGAATTGCTTCATTGCTTATATGTAGGACGGTTCCATCCATGCCCTCTCAGATTGTCTCGGTCATTTGAAGCCAAAGATGCTTTACAGTACCACCAGGGTTCCCGTTGAGGATGTGCTGCGCGCCTGGATTTGGCGCGTCACTGGCTGGGATTTCCGCTGGTTGCTGAAGATCATCCTGCCTTATGCGCGGCACCCACCGGGTGCGACACTTTGGCTCAATTCGACTGGTTGCAAGCTGGGCCCCAATCGTGCCAGGGGTGGAAGTAGATGGGTCGGTAGGGACATGTAGGGACTCACCTATCAGGACTGCATCAAGTAACGAATGTAATATTTACATTGTATAATTATATAATGTAAATATTACATATATATATATATCATTATATTTACTGCAATAGTAATCACTGCAACAATCTGCCACTGGGCCATGGTTTGTTACCGTCGGCACATTCCAAGCCATGACCACCGAGGCCGCAGGGCATCCTATTGCCGTAGGGCCGTACTCGTAGGGGTAAACGGCCCATACGGCCCTGACCGTTGGGTCCAAAGATGGCCCCAGAGAATTGTCAAAAAAGGGTCATAGGGTCCGAGGGAAAGGGATTGATACATTGATGCATGGCCTGAGGTTGCTAAGTTTAACATATTTTAACATTTAATGATCAATTTGATTAATGGATATGAATGGTGTGAATCAATACTCGTACCATTCATTTTGATTCAGACTTGAAAATGGGATCAATCCATTGAAAACATCATGATCAAAATGGGATGGTTGTAAAAGCTGTTGATCCCGTCACGAATCCGAGCTCCTCGGCCTCCAGTTGTGATTCATCCAGCAGGCTTTTGCGGGTCTTGCAGCATGACGAGAACTTACGAGTCGTTGGCGAGTGGGAAGGGGCCTGAGATACAGCTGACGTGGCCAATCCTCCCAACCTTTGGTTGGCGGTTTCATCATATTTTCACCTATCCAGGAGGTACAGGTAATGGTCATGAATAATGCCAATTGCCTCATGTTTGAAAAATGCTCCTGGGTTGAAACGTTGAAACCACCATTGCATCCCGAAGACTCGAGGAACAGCGCTTGCTGCTCTCAGCAGCCATTGCCAAGGTGCAGGACCTTGCGTCATGTCTTTGATTTTGAGAAAAGAATCCAACACCAACCTGATTGAACCGATTTTGATAGCGTTTGGATAGCATGTGGATACCTTTTGGATAGCGTTTCGATAGCATTTGTATTATATTCCTGGACCTTCCACATTCGCAAATTTTTGGAACTTTTTGCTTTGTGACCCTCCTTTCGGCAAAATGACCCAAAAACTGCCAAACAAGGCGGAAAGAGCAGAAGGGGCAGAAGTGGTGTAAAGTGGCACAATCATGTCCAGAATCATATTTCCCATGGGAATGCCCACCAAATCAAGGGTTTCAGTGCCCCATCTGAGCGTGGTGAGTCCAAAACAATGCCGTGATTTTGTCACCGCAGTTGAGGTGCCATCCCTAGTTTTTTAGTGGAAGTGCGACTCTTTGCTCAGCTGCAGTTGTGCCGAACTTTTGGAGTTTTAGTGCGAATTTACTTGAGTTCTTCTCCGTCCAATCCCATCGACATTTTTTTAAACAACAAAGTGATGCATTCAGGACCGAAACATGCACGCAAACAAGGCGCAAAACCCCGCAAAAAAGCGCAAATCTGGATTTCTGCCTTGCGGAACCTTGAAGGTTGTGGCCAAACCGCAAGATTCAATGGGAAATGGCAAAACATCGCATTTGATGTGTGCTCAAAAATGATCCAACAAAATTGAAGGATGCCATTGGCTGATATTCTTGAAAATTGGCAGACAAGAACACACAATAGGTCGTGTCTCCTTGTCACCTCTTTTTGCGGCTCAACGCGCACGATGCACAAATATCATCAAATATCTACATTTATACGTGCAACAACTAAAGAAATTACAGTGACATGGGAATAGGTCGAGGCAGAAAACATCAGGACGCGGCAGAAAAAGTCCAAAAAAGAGAGATACCCAAAAAACTCAAACAAGGCAAAAAGGCAAAACGACCCAAATATTCTGCTTTGTCAAGGGTAGAGGTTATTTCGATACCTTTTGGATACTTTTGGATACCATTTCGGTACCTTTGGATACCATTTTGATACCATTTGGATGGTTGCTTCCTTGTGGGAGCCTTGCTGAGCAAGCTGCAGACAGTCCGCTTTTTAGGAGAATGGTGAAACCTCGCAGAAGGTGGGATTTGGTGAAGTCTCACGACCTAAAGGGTCTTGGAATGGCTTGAACGCAGATGTTGCCATTGATATGATGTGACCAATCAAATCATGTCACATCTTTGGGGTGTCAAATATTCCAGGAAATCCCAGGTGGCAACACTGTAACACCGCTGGCTCAAACTTGGAGTGGGATGGTCAGAGATGCCCCGCGATGGCAGATCTCAAGAGCTTTTTCGCAGACGTTGGCAGGGATAAACATCACGTACATAGAACGACGGAGATTGGTAAAGCACAATGAAACATGACTTGGGCCAAAGAAGACTGATCGGTTTGCTTTGCAGTCAGAACTTGAACGTCCATGACATGCTTGGTAAGAGTTTTGCAGTTTATTGCAGTTTAGTATTTTCTTGCTCGGAGTGTTCGGCCATGGTTCAGATGAGCATGATGGGGCAACTGCTATGCTGACAGGCAGCAGCTCCGAATGTGGATCCCCAACAGCTGGTTGGTTTAGACAGGTAACGGAAAATCCAACTCCAACCAAAAAAATAATTGAGTCACGGTCAAAATGGTTGAAGACCACTTTAGATACTTTAGTATTGCAGGAGTTTTTTTGGTCAGAGATGTGCACGAAACACTGTAAAGCGATAGGGCCCTCGGGCCCTCCCAAAAGCGATAACCTGGGACCAGACACGACAGTCCATTATTTTTTTTCGTAAAACAAACTGTTGTGCACATTCACAGAACGGGCAAACCACCGATGAGGGAAATTCAACCTGTGGTGCCCTGTTTCCTGCAGTTCCCATATCATTTGGCATCCAACCCGCTGTATTTTTTTGTTGTTCCCTCCCTCTCTCTCTCTCGCTTTTGCTCTCTCGTTTTTTTTTTTGTTCTCTCTCTCTCTCTCTTTCTCTGTTGTTTTTGTGGCAGATTTCTTTCGAACAATGTCATATGTTGGAGGGATTTATTTAGCGATGGCGATAACCTTAGCGATAAGTGAGCGATAACCATTTATTGTACTCGGTCCCCTGGCCAAGCCATAGAGCCAGTTCCATAACTTTAGAAAGGAAATAAAAGGACATGAATGCAACATGAAAGGAACATGCATGCAAATGAAAGGAAAACGAAGGAATATGCATGCAAATGAATGCAACATTGCAACATGAAAGGAACATGGAGTGTTGCCGAAGCACCTGAAACCAACAAAACAACTCCTCGATCCATTTCCGAGCCTGTCTAGGAATGGATTTTGGCTTCATGTTGGATCTCGAATATGCTGATTTCCACGAAACCCTGGAAAGCGATAGGCCCCCCCCAAAAGCGATAACCATAACAATAGCAACTACTCAGATGTAAGGGATGTTGACGGGAACCTATATGTATGTATAATATATTATAGCTATTATATATATACATATATATATATGTGTGTGTGTGCGGGGGGATATGTTGAAGCTGTCATTGGTCAACATGGCCAACTGAACTTTGAAAACAGTAACTGATATGTGGATGCTGCTTCAGATTTCAGTGAATCTGAATGAATCATCGTGAATCATTCGAAATGCAAAGCCTTCACCCAATGGTACCAAATTGTACCAAGTAATTTTCAAAGGATTTATGATTTTTATATATATATGATGTATTTTAATGTGTATACATATATAAATATATACATGTACATCATTATCTATGTCTTATCTCATCATCAAAGCTTTCAGCCTGCTTCCTGTGTGGCGTTTAATTCCATGGGACCCAGTGCTGGTAGCAGCTGGTAGCAGCTGGTTTCGCAGGCAGCTGGCTGAGATGGAGAAAAAGCAAACGAAGGAAGATGAATGGACTGCCAACACAGCCCCTGCCCGGATTCATTTGGAAATGGATTTGGGTGATGGACTCTATGTGAGCAATCCCAACTTCCACTGAGATCGTGGATTTCCCAAACTGAAGAGGGGTGTGAAACAAGATCACGCCCATCAATTTGGCCGAGGGCATTGCGAAGCAATGACCGGGCTGCAGTGTTTGTGTGGCGCTGCTTCAAAAAGATGCCGATGCCCCCCCGTATTCGGTGGTCTTGAGATGTCTTGAGGTCATCAAGCATGGCTTGCTGATTTATGGCTTGGATGACTTTCCTCTTCCCTGTGGTTCAGGTAACCCTGCCCTGCGCCCTGCGCTACTTGCACCGCAGAAAGGGTAGTGGCACTGCCAGGGGCCTGAGGTCATCACGTCGTTTGGACCCCCCTGGGTCACTCTTAAAACTGGAAAGCCACGTTGTAGGTCAAGCGTCGTCGTCGTCGTCATGATGATAACTTTCATTTATGTATGTCATATTTTGCGTTTATATGTATGCACTTACACATCGTCGTTAGTTTATACTATAATAATATATATATATATATTATACATATCTATATATATATGTAGAGATCCGTATGTCTATGATATATTACAGTATATTGAATAGTTGATTTAACGCGGTCTCCTTGAAATAGGAACCTTGTTTTTTTCTTTTTTTCTCGTATTTTTTTCTGGTGCCCTTCTAGTGCCCACTGTTAAAGCAAATTGGCAGTACACAATCTATATCTACTACTTTTATCTATTATCTATATGTCTATGTTGATATGTCTATATCTATATATATATATGTATATCGATATCCATGTATCTATATTGCATGTTACATTTGTGTATGCATCTTTGGGTGTAGGTACCTCTCTTTTCTATGACACTTCGCATCATCATCACCTGCCGCAGTCGTTGGCAGAATCAGGCCACTTTCCCCATCCAGGAGTTGCAGGCCACCCCTGGCCATGAGATTTACAGCTTTTGATAGCATTGGTTAATATATATATATATATGTACATATATTTGATATATTCATATTATCTATCTCTCTCTCTCTCTCTCTCTCCCTATATACATATATATATATATACATATATATATATATATATATATATATGTTGACACAGTTGACACTATGTGTGTTTATTGTTTCCTTCTTTTAACCATACATTTCACTATAGCAGATGTTCTTCCCATTGCAGTTTTCCTCACTTCTTGTCCCTTTTGGGGGGTGATCGGTGGGCCGTGATTCGTGGCGTACACCGACATTGGCGCCATGGCATGCTCTCGGTGCCGGCAGTGCCTGGACAGCTTTCGACTTGATCCAGCACCCACCACAGAGCTGAGTGACACAGCCAGCAGAGGCCTGGGAAATCCGTAGGGATTACTTGTTGCAGAATTGTTTTCGTATGTGCCTATTATAATATATATATATATATTATCTATTTATTTATATTTATTTGTTTACTATTTAGTTTTTTTACACATATTATCATATTTTTTTATATACACACTTATATAGGATGTTTCTTTGTTTCAAGGGACCCCTTTCATGTGGGTGTATATTGACCTTGGGGTAGTCTCGTACGAGATGGCGATGGAGAGAGAAGGAGAGAGAGAAGGGAGAGAGAGAGAGAGAGATGTGTGGAAAATTCAGGCCCAAAACAGAGGGACGAGCATTTTTTTGTTGGGTTACCCTCTGGTAAACTAACATAGCTATGGAAAATCACAATTTTTAATGGGAAAACTCACTATAAATGGCAATTTTCAATAGCTACGTTAAATTACCAGAGGGTATGTTGGGTTCTCCAAGTTGGAATCATAGCAACTTGGAAATGCTGCGTAGCTGCGGAAGTCAGATGCCGTAGCATGCCGTAGCCATCCCTTTTTGCAGGTTGCCAAGCAGAGCTGTGCCCCTTTCGAATCCAAGTAGATGGCCACTCAGGACGAACGAAACGTGAGATCAACGCTTCCAGCTGAGCATTTTTAACAGGTACCACGTTTTTACCATGGTTTTACCATGTTTTACCTGTTTCTTAAAGTTTTCAATTGTTTTTATTTAAGGAAGCTCCGCCACTTTTTTTCCAGTTTCGGACTGGGCAAGGGCTTGAATGTCGATGCAGGAGCCAGTCCAGTGATGTTCACATTGACCATCCGTGCGGCCCTTGGGTCGACAGAGTTGTCCCCCGATCATTTGGATCGCTGCCCAGACAAGCCAATATAGTATACAGTACAATAGTGCACAAGAGTATATATACATACATATGTTACAATGTATTAATCTTATTATATTTCTCATTGTGCAGTTTCACAGAAACAATATTGATATACGGTCACCTCTGCAACCCATAAAAATCATAAAGGAGGGCCTGGTTTTATTCGCCTGAGGCAATGGCGATGCAGTGTGGCAGATTCGGCGAAGGTTTCAACAGGTGCGTTCCTTGCACCAAGCATTAAGTGTCTTGGTATGTCATGCACCGGCCGTGGCATGCTGTGGCATGGTGGCTGACATTGTTCTACCTGGTATGGGCAGTCTTTGGGTTCATGAACTATTGCTGATATCATGATATCGTTGAACTTTGTGCCCCAAAGGATCAGAAGCATCAGGCGCTTGAGAAGGATGAGAATGGGTTGTGGGAATTCACGCTGCATTCCTATGATGATTGGTGAACCCACTGGTTGTGAAACTTGTATGTGGGCATTCCCATTGACACATATTGACACTAGTTTGATAGAACCTCCGAAAACTTGCCTGAAACCCAATGATGTTCTTCGTATAAGTTTACAACAGGACAATCGTGTTCCCATCATCTTCCTGACCCCAAAACGCTGTGAAATTTGATCATTGTCTTGGAAAAAGATGGTGAGCACATATGAAAACATGTTGAAACTGGTCAGATCATTAAAAAGAAACTAAGGTCAAACCTACTTGGCTCGCGGCTTGCCCGCTCCACCACCCCGAGCCACCTGTCGTTCTGTTGTCTTTGGCCAGCAACTCGGCACTGAGAACTCCACCGAAATGATCGATGGGTGGATTGTCAATGATTGTCGTTTATATTCACTTAGATGTTTCCATATGGTTTTTGCTGGAGGGTAAGCTACAGTTTTTGCAATAAGCTCCACGGTTCTTTAACTTGGTGGCTTGCGCCTCCCACCAATTCTTGCAACCCCTTTTTATGTACTTTAGGATCCCTTGTTTGTTAGGGTCACCAATTTTTTTGGGGAATGGGATTAAGTAGTTTGCATGAAGGATATTTACTATACAGTATTTTTTTGTATACTGTGTTTCCGTTGTTTCTCTTTCCCTGTGAGTTTTGCTTCATTGATTGGCCCAAAAAATTCATCCTGCATTTCAAGCACAGGCGGAATGCTCGATTTCTCGATGAACGTGCTGCCAGGCCAGGCCAGTATTTCCAATGAAACTCATGAAGTTAAGGGCTGATGGATTGATTGGATTGTTGGGTGCAGGTGACAGGTGGATTCATAGACTACATATTAATGTGTCTTCTACTACTCTTTGGTGCGCAATTGTGGGAACATTTTTATGGGTTGCTGAAGCCTCGAGGATCCAAGACTACTTGCGGGCGCTTACGACACAAATTCCTGTGGTTGAGCAGTGCGAAGCACTTTATCAGCCTCTCAGATTCAAGCTGAAATTTGGTCGGGGCTCAACATTTCTTGCGGCACCGAATTCAACATGATATTATAGGTACCCCATTTTTACGGGGAATTTTTTTCCCGGCTAAGTTCCCGCAGACTGGTGTGCCAGGGAAGCGAGGCAGCAAGCAAGCAAGCAAGCAAGCAAGCCGGCCAGCAAGCAAGCAAGCAAGCAAGGAAAGAAGGGAGCCAGCGAGCAAGCAAGCCAGCCAGCCAGCCAGCAAGCCAGCAAGCAAGGGAGCCAGCGAGCAAACCAAGCAAGCAAGCAAGCCAGCCAGCCAGCAAGCAAGCAAGCAAGGGGGCAAGCAAGGGAGCCAGCGAGCAAGCAAGCAAGCAAGCAAGGAAGCAAGGAAGGAAGGAAGGAAGGAAGCAAGGAAGCAAGGCAGCAAGGCAGCAAGGCAGCAAGCCAGCCAGCCAGCAAGCAAGCAAGCCAGCAAGCAAGCAAGCAAGGGAGCCAGCGAGCAAACCAAGGAAGCAAGCAAGCAAGCCAGCCAGCCAGCAACTGTACCACTGTACCACTGAAAATATTGCTGCCGTGGCGGGTCGGTGGTGATGGTTGGTGCTAGGATACCCAGAATGGGAAAGTGATATGTCTAGATGGCAGTGGTCATAATAGATGTTATACCATGGAAAAAGAAACAAAGTGATGTGAAATTCAAAAGTTGCAACGAAACCTGCAACTTTGGCGACCCAGGTATGTATATATACATATGTACAGGTTGTCATTTAGATACATATTTTGTGGCTATTTATTTGCGCATATCCAACAACAACAGCAACAACAACCATAACAACAATAAACACAATAGCAACAACGATCACAAGAGCAAGCATAACAACAACAACAACAACCACAACCACAACCACAACCACAACAACAACCACAACCACAACAACAACCACAACCACAACCACAACCACAACCACAACCACAACCACAACCACAACCACAACCACAACCATAACAACAACCATAGCAACAGCAAACATCACAAGAGCAAACATCGCAACAACAAACATAACAAAGAAACACCAACAAACATTACAACAACAGACAGCACAACAACAAACATAACAGCAACAAACGTAACAACAAATACAACAACATAGAAGGTTCCAGCTCCCAAATTCTACGAATAGCACGCAAACTGAAAGGTCCCTGCCCCCTGCGCGCAAATGCGGCAAACAGCATGATAAATAGAAGGTTACTGCGCCCAAATGCGGCAAATAGAATGCAAAATAAAAAGTTCCAGCGCCATAATGCTGCAAATAGCATGCAGCATGGAAGGTTCAGCTCCAAAATGCTGCAAATAACACGCAAAATGAAAGGTTCCAGCTCCAAAATGCTGCAAATAGCATGCAGCATGGAAGGGAAGTGGCAGGATAGATGCAGGGGACGGAAAACAGAACAGATCAGGAAAAAAAAACCCGGGGCAGGAGAAAAAAAATCCCCGGCGAGATTCGGCACCTGATATTATATGATATTAGAACATATTAGAAATTAGAACCATCTAAGAATAGCCAAGTTAGTTTTCCATGGGTGCCAAACCTTTCAGGTCTGCTTAGGCTGATGTTTTTCTTTGTGTTTGCGGCCGGCTGGATGGGCGGTCATCCTCCGCCGAGGTTCTTGTGCTATTTGCACTTGCCCAGATGGAGAGGTGATCGAGTTGGAAACTCAGATTCAAAGATACCAAAGCAGGATTTGAATGTGGGCTGGATGTTTGAATCATTGACTTTGCGCATTTTGTATATGTTGTCATCTATGAACATAAATGTGTATATCCTGAGTACGTGCATCTTGCCACCGCAAATTCCAACGTGCAGCGCATCAACGGAGGTCTTGGTGGGTGGTGGTGCGCCCCCGGTGGACCCCGATGTGGTCACTAAGTTGCCGCGGGCGCCGCCACCGGGGATGAATCCGGACACCGTGGAAGCACCCAAGGTGGCGCCACAAAATCAGGGGCACCATGGGGGCATCATGGTGAGGGGATGCCCAGATTTTGGAATTTAATTTGGATAATTAATTTGGATAATTAATTTGGACAATTAATTTGGAACATGTTGATGAATTTTGGGTGCATTAAGATGTTTTCATGGGGAAAGATGATTTGCCATGGGTAACATGGGTAACCCATTCTCAGACGAAGCATCACTACCCTCTTGGCGCCCCGGACCCCCCCCGGGGGGTAAAAAACGTAACATACATTATTACATTTTTATACCCCCCTAGAAATATAGGGGTTTGGGGGGGGGTAAAAAATGTAACATGGGCATTGTAGGGGGGTACACCTGCTATGTTACATTTTCCAACCCCCCCCCCATGAACAGCCACGGAAATACTTTTGGGGGGGGGACCCTAGGGGGGTAGAAATTGTAACATATCTCCGTGAGGTACCCAAACAATATATGTTACTTTTTTGGGTCCCCCCCCCTCCCCTATCACCCCGCTATAGCTCTACATAGCCCTACCATAACCTACATTAACCTATCAACATCATTTTACATATGCGCACGCGCATCGCAAATCTTAGGGTCTTTGGGATTGATAGGTCGAAAATGTAACATGGCCATGGGAGGGCCCCCAAACGCTGCAAAAACACAGTAATTCCCTACCCTAGCCCCTGCATGTTACATTTTACATACGCGCATACGCATCATCGCGCATTGCAAATCGCAGGGATCAACAGGTCGAAAATGTAACATGGCCATGGGAGGGCTCCCCAAGCTTGCAAAACACAGTAGTTTCCTACCCTAGTCCTTGCATAATACATTTTACATACGTGCACAAGCATCGCAAATCGCAGGGATCAACAGGTCCAAAATGTAACATGGCCATGGGAGGGCTCCCCAAGCTTGCAAAACACAGTAGTTTCCTACCCTTGTCCTTGCATAATACATTTTACATACGTGCACAAGCATCGCAAATCGCAGGGATCAACAGGTCCAAAATGTAACATGGCCATGGGAGGTCTCCCAAACCCTGCAAAAACACAGTAATTCCCTACCCTACCCCTGCATAATACATTTTACATACGCGCATGCGCATCATCGCGCATCGCAAATCGCAGGGATCAACAGGTCGAAAATGTAACATGGCACTGGGAGGGCTCCCAAACCCTGCAAAACACAGCAGTTCCCTACCCTAGCCCCTGCATGTTACATTTTACGTACGCGCACAAGCATTGCAAATCGCAGGGATCCACAGATCAAAAATGTAATATGGCATTGGGAGGTCTCCCAAACCCTGCAAAAACACAGTAATTCCCTACCCTAGCCCCTGCATAATACATTTTACATACGCGCATGCGCATCATCGCGCATCGCAAATCGCAGGGATCAACAGGTCGAAAATGTAACATGGCACTGGGAGGGCTCCCAAACCCTGCAAAACACAGTAGTTCCCTACCCTAGCCCCTGCATGTTACATTTTACGTACGCGCACAAGCATTGCAAATCGCAGGGATCCACAGATCAAAAATGTAATATGGCATTGGGAGGGCCCCCAAACCTTGCAAAATACAGTAGTTTCTTACCCTAGTCCCTGCATGTTTCATTTTACCTAAGTGCGCACACATCTCATCGAGCGTGAAATTTCACGAGGCGTAAGTAACTTAGGACTTGGAGCCTTTTGGATATCATCAGCATTGTCGATGTTTTCATGTATCTTCAGGTCTGCCTAAGGTCTGCCTAAATAAAAAAACACAAACAAATAAACAATGAGGGAGAGGATGGGAGAGGAGTCAATGGCTTTCCATGGCTTTCCTATTTTTAAATGGTGATGCTCAGGCCTTGTCGGGACTTGTCAAGACGCCAAGACATGCCAAGACCACAGAACTTTCGAAGAAATCCGGGGATTGCAGCAAGCATCCATCCTCAAACATGTCAAACGTAGATAGATTCAAAACCTGGCTTTTTCCGTGGCCTATTTGGTTGGAGCAGACCCTTGGTCACGGGAATTTTGGTTGTGAGAGACCCGAGGGGATATAATATATAAAAATATCATGAAATATATAGACTTAATGATACATAATGATACTATTACCAATAGGAGGGCTATGGAGGGCTATTTTTTGGGAAATATATCAAACACCAAAAAAATGTAATATATCAAACACCCAAAAAATGTAACATACATTTTTCAGGTTGGGGAGTCGGATCTTGTAATTCTTTATTCAAACCACCCAAAAAATGTAACATACATTTTTGAGGTTTATCTTTACAAATTTGATTTATAAATTTGTTTACCCGGCCTAAAAATGTAATGTAACATTTTTACGTTTACTTCATGAATTTGGGTAAAACAACCTACATATATGTGGATATATGTGGTATATAGCCAGGGTCCCGAAACCCTGCATAATGGCACTCCAAAAATGTATGTTACATTTTTTACCCCCCGGGGGGGGTAAGACGGTCGTGATGACGAAGCCATTTTTTGAGACGAACATTATAGTTCGATGACTGTGTATGTGTTTTTTGGGATGTGTCCTACTCAATTGAGCCACGTGTTTTTTCCAGATGATAGAATTTAGATTGAGGAGGAACTCACATCATTCATGCGTAGGCTATTCTGCTTGGTGCGTAGGTTTCGCGTAGGCATGTACGTAGGATAATGTAGGAGAGGCTGCGTAGGCAGTCTCGCGTAGGCACTTGTTTAGATGTTCTAGATTGTTTGTTTCTGACCTCGAACTCTTGTTTTTCTTGGTGGCTTACAATGATTTTAAATGCAAACTGGGTTGTATGGTTCATATATGTTTAGCTGGAAGAAAGGGGAAATTAAAGAAACAACCGCTTTTTCAGAAAATTACAAGTGCCAAGTTTTCGAACAGCCATTTTCGGTTCAGATTTTCGCGTAGGCTCCGCGTAGGCCCTCGCGTAGGAAACGCGGAGGCCCTAGGTCAAATTGTGGCCCGTAGCCCATCAAAGTCTTACCGTTTCACTTTTCTAATGTTTCCATGAGTTCATCCTGACTGCCGATCACATCATGACACAGTGCTCCACTTTTGATGAGGCTTCCGCCTTCCTTTCACAAGTCACCCAAAGAATCGTCATCTTCCAATTCTTTCCATTCCTCTTCTGAACCAGAATTGTGATCACATCACGTCAAGTAAAGAGATCGTTGCAGCAACTTTCGCGGAGGCAACCGCGTAGGCACTTCTTGAAAGGTAACCCTCGCGTAGGCAGTTTTGCTTGGGAGGAGTGGTTTGCGTAGGCCCCGCGTAGGTGTCCTAATTTGTGTATTGCAGTTTAGCAAGGAAAAAAACACAACTCAATTGATTTTGTTTGCACCTCTTAATAATGTGTTTGTATTGCTTCAAGCACCAACATCACAATCAACTGATACAGCGAAAAAGAAAGAAATAAACAGATCAAGCGCCAAGTTTGGTCGAATTTGGATCCTTGGGTAATCCCTTCCTCCTAATACTAAACGTCCCCCTAATACTAAAAACAGGCATCCATCTCCAATTTCCGAAAATTTCAGTTTGGCCAATTTGACTTTTAATTGATCCCCTTTAAAAAACAATTTAAAAATCAACCTACCATTTGTGGGTTCTCCCCCCTAATACTAAAAACTAGTTCACCCCGGGGTGTTTAGTATTAGGGGGGCCTAGTCCCAATCCCTCACTCCAAGCTGCCTAGCTACTCTAGCAATTAGGGGTAAGCTTCTAACTGCCATTTTTGGCAATATTTTAATTGCGCTATATAAGGAAATTTAATTGATTTTGAGATCGGAAAAAATAGTTTTTAGTATTAAGGGTTTTAATTTAGTATTAGGGGTAAGCTTCGAACTGCCATTTTTGGCAATATTTTAATTGCGTTATATAAAGAAATTTAATTGATTTTGAGATCGGAAAAAATAGTTTTTAGTATTAAGGGTTTTAATTTAGTATTAGGGGTAAGCTTTGAACTGCCATTTTTGGCAATATTTTAATTGCGTTATATAAGGAAATTTAATTGATTTTGAGATCGGAAAAAATAGTTTTTAGTATTAAGGGTTTTAATTTAGTATTAGGGGTAAGCTTCGAACTGCCATTTTTGGCAGTATTTTAATTGCGTTATATAAGGAAATTTAATTGATTAATTAACATGACTTCGATTTGGTTCCCTAATAATAAATACCCCCCTAATACTAAAAACTACCTGCCGTGTTTTGTATTAGGGGGGGGGGTTTAGTATTAGGAGGAAGGGATTACAAGTGATTCTGTTTTTTTTCAAAGATGTTCCACTCGATTTAACATTGGTAGGTTCCCAGCCATCCCGTTGAGGCGTCTGTGTGCGTGGTATGTCAAGAAGTAATGGAGGCCAAGGAGGATATCCGAGTGTTCGGAGGCCCAGATGTAGAGGCCCGGACGATGAAAGAGGAACGACTTATGGCGGATGTTCAGGGGTAGTGAAACGCAGGAAGCTGCACTGGCAGTCACTCCCATGTGTTCATAAAGTCTTCGCGGTTCAGAGGGCTTGGCAGCAGATCTTGCCGCAAGTATTCTGAACAGCTAAGGCTGCCTTGCAGCCACGAGCACCTTGGCAAAGCTGGTGTCCAGAGAGTCACTGGGTCATCTTGTCAAGTTCCCGAAGAAGCAAGCTCACCGGTAGAACAATTGGGTCAAGGATTTTATTAGGTTGAGATGGGAGCATGATCATCGTCATCATTTATTACTCAAGACTGCTCATACATAGCATCTCAACTTCACTCCAAATTTTTCATCTCAGAGACTCCCTCTTAAGTGATTGTCAGACTTGGCTACCCGAGGTTCCACTACAAGTGCATTTCAAGCTGGTTGACCAAGAGAAACACTTGTTGCATTTGCAATGGTCCTGCTGTGCTCACGGCACCACACTTTACCTAGACCTTCACAAGACGAGGAGTGGCGTTTGTGGGTCGGTCGCAGCTGGGGTCTCTCGCTGTACTGAAGAGTTGCAGCTAGAGCCAGTGCTAACTCCCGGGGAGGCGGTTGAAATGAAAGCCCACATCCTTTTGGTACAACACTTGGATGTACATCCGAATTATATATTTATTTGATATACATATAGCTAAGTTACATAGTTTATAGTCATGATTTTTATATATTTTTTATATCATCCACAATGTATATATCATACATCTACTTTTACATACATAATATAATATATATATATATATTATCCGAAGTATTGCACACACACACATAATACGTATAGATGGCAGGGGTAGAACTGGTATTTTCGGTGGTTCTACGCCACTGACAAGCTGGGATGCACCATTGGAATATCCGGGGTCAAGGCACAAAAAGCTGCCAGTTTTTGGGGCATGGCGCAGTCAAGGTCCATCAGATTTGCACGTATGTCATGAAAATTGTTTTTTGTCAGAGCCCGAAATATACTCAAACAAGATCATCAAACATCATTCACATATCATCAAATAGCCAGTGATTTGCATGTTGCATTTGTTTGTTCTTCTTTTCTGTTCGGAATGGAATGCCTCCCGGGAAAGCCTCGGACAGGGAGCTCTCTAGCCGAAGGCTATGAGTCTCACGGGGCACTGCTTGACCCCACAAGAGCAGTGGTGATTTAGAGCAACTGAGAGGGCTCAAGTTGATTAGGTCTCAGGCCTCAGGCCTCAAGGGCATCATGGATGATTTGGTGTTTATTTTCTTGGTTCCTTTCTGTTTTTCTTTTAGGGGAATGTTTGTTGGGGGTTCTACCCAATGGGTTGATGATGGTTGATGTTTAAATCAAATCAAAGAGTTGTGAGCTTTGGCCGTACCGGTCACCAGCTGTCGTGTGCTCCGCGTGGCACCTTGGCAAAAGAACAACGGGGTAAAAGGAGCATCGGCTGCTGACTGTCACTATCCATTCACCACAACGGGGCAGCTGTTGGCTCCGGGCCCTGAGGTGCCTCCTTCAGGGTCCAACCTAACCTTGACTGCGGTGGCAGAGGTGGGCTTTTGGGATGTGGCACTGGAGAGGTTGAACCGTGACGCTTTCAAATTTCACCGATGACTCACTGACTCGTGCCCATTTTTTTCTTTTTTTGCCGGCACTTCTCATCGTTTCTCATCATTGCCCGGCCGGTGGTTGCACCAACAGTGTTGGGATGATGATCCCAATGGACCATCATTGACTCATGGTTTTTTCATGCACTGTATTTATAACTGTGTACACACACATGTTGTGATCCGCACTGTTTCCACAAGAGCGCACTTGTGTATATATATATATATCTGTGTGTGTGTATGTATTTGTAACTGTATATGTATATGTATATGTAGATGTGTATATGCACACGCACACGTATACGTATACGCATGCATTCGTGTGCATGGGCTGGGTGGCTCAAACCCAAACCCGTTTGTGAATGGTTGGTTGTATCTTCTCCACTTGTTGCATCGCGAGGAATATGAAAAGGCCCTGGACAGCAACAAGTCGGTGGACTACACTGACCTTATCTCCATGGCAGGTGGGTTTTCCCGGAGATGCATCCGATCATGACAATTGCTTCTGTTTTTGATAGGTCGTCCAATACAATGTAATTGACTATGAATTGTGAACGTATTTTCCGTTGAGTCTTACATCATTTGCAAGTGATTTGTGTGGCTCATGGCGCTTCTTCCTCCGATTTGACAACACTTTTTGAGGTGAGGTACTTCGGCTGCCGGTGGTTGCAGAGACCATGGCAAAACTACAGGCTGTCGTGGTGCCTTGACGCCTTGTGCTGGTTGCACACTAGCAGTCCTCCAGAGTTACTGTATTGTATCCACTTTTAAAGAGGTGATGATGGTGATGTTTATCGAGGAAATGCCAGCACCATCCAGCTGTTGAAGTCTTTTACAAAGCTGATTTCATCGATGGCTTCTGAAGCACCTGCCAATGGGAAGCTTTCGCGACCCGTGCTTCTCCGTTTCTCCCCTTTCTCAGATTGATTGCTGCAAGCGATCATGCCTGGCCCCTCTCAGCATGTGCTTAGGTGGATGAATTCCAGGAGCAGCTCAGATTCAGCCGGGTGACGGATGGCTCAGATTCAGCTCCACTTTGTGCACGAACCTGCATGTTCGCGCAGTAGTTTTTTGCTCAAGGCCGCGGCCCTTCAAGAAAAAGGAAGAATGGCAGAATGACACAAGCCAAACATTGAAGTGGGGCGATACAATGTCAACCTTTCATAACCTTTCGGCACCTGACCCCAGATGATTCACTGCTTGACTTAAAGCCATACCGTTTTTGGGGATAATGCAACATTCTTGATCCCATGCCCATCTTTTTTCTTTGTCCTTTGTGCATAAAACTGCAAGTTGATGAACAAAGCCTCTGAAGGGCAATGGGCCTAAGAATCAATCAATTGGCACCTAGTGTCACTTGGATTCCTGCTGTGCTTTCAAAAAGCTCAGGATGAGCACATGAACACATAATGCATCGACTAGAAGCTGTGGGTGAGTTGAACAGCCATCTCAACTCAAGAAAGACATGCCTAAAGACCTGCAAAGCCTCATGTCCTAACTGAGTTCCTAAGATTTTGCCACTACGTGCATCTAAGTGCCATGAGTTCCATTGGCTCCGACTATGCGCTGCTGGCGTCGGAGAAAATCGGCCAGGGCAGCATGGGCTTTTTCGGAAACCTGGAGCATTTGTTGCTTGGAGAATTCCCTGGGCTAGACATAGCTAGACTAAATATATTCTAAATATGCTAGCGGATGATGTTGGATGATTTAAAGGATGATTTTTGTTGCTCAGCACCTTAAATCTGTAGGCTTTATAGATGGACAATGGCTGTTGACGAAGCAATATGAGTATGTCACAATGTCCCCAGAAGGTAGGAGATCTAGCAAGCAGGGTACTAGCCCACTTTCTATATAATCTGCTCATCCAAGTAGGGTGGCAAAAGTCATGCAGATCATGGTTAACCCCACTGCCCTCAAAAGTCAGAAAGGATCCGAATCTCATGCGTTTTGCTGCAGCAAAGTGGCAGGACATGGCAGGACGTGTAAATCTGAAAGAGACTGTCAAGACAACGTTGCAATGTTGCAATGCTGGGAGAATCTTGGGTTGATGTGCCAGGGCGCCAGGCCTTCAGCTCACACAAGCCCCATATGTACAGTAGATCCTTTCCAATCACCCACTTTTGAATTATTGGCATTCAATCAAATTATAGCAACTATTTACACAAAACACTGCGTAAACTTTAGACTTTAGATGGGTTTTAGTGTACCTTTTAGTGATCTTTCAATTTAGATGCACAGCCTGAGGTTGGGAGGTGCCTTGAGAAGCCACCAACATTCCAGATCCGACCTGGACGACAACGAGCGCCGAAGCGACCCTGACCGTGCCCGGGGTGCTGCTGCTCCCACGGTCCAGACGCTGTGGGACCCCAGCAGCTGGGGGGCCTCGAGCCCCGGTGCCCAGTCGCCCATGAAGGGCTCCGAGTCGCCCCTGACGGTGGTGGCAGCTGAGGATATGCCTGGCTCACCGGGCCGCCTGTCTCCCAGGAGGGCGGTGAGCCCCAAAGGGAAGCAGGAGAAGGGGGTGCAGGATCCAGAAGCACCCATGTTGCTTGGATCTCTTGGGATGAATTTTGGATGGATTTTGGATGAATTTCATGGTTGCATTGGGCTTGATGGGATGATGCAATTTGATGCAGTCTGATGTTTTGGGTCTTCATGTCATGTTCATGTTCCTTTAGGAGCGAATGTATGTTGACCTCAGGCTACATCAAGTCTTGGAGCAGCTTTATACTGCCTTGAAGGCCTGGGAGGCCTCGGTGAAAGCCAGCACATCTCTGACTGGAGCCTTTCTGCCAGACCGGGGCTATCGACAAGAAGAGCGAGCCGTGAATGTGGCTTCAATTGCCTTTGAAGAATTTCCCGCCAAGTTGGGCCACGCGGTCGCAATAGGCAGAAACTATGCAGCGAAGGACGTGGGCGGACTATGGCGCACTGGGGATGCAACAGCTTGAAGGATGTCTCTACCGCAGTCATGAGGTTTTTCTCAATCCTTCTTAGTTTTGGTGATGTCGCCAATCGTAGGATCTGACATGTATCAGTGAAGAAATCCTTATCAAACACCCTGAGCCAACCTGCGGGGGATTCCATCGCTAGATACTTGATCCTGTTCTGGTAAATAGAGTCAAACCACGCACACATGGAACAATTCACCCGTGGGTCTTGCAGCAACCAACATCAACACTATCCACATACACACACACACAATCATCCAATGAAGTACCTTTTCTGGTGATTTGCTGGCAAAAAGCAAGATGCCAACAAGCCAGCGATACATATGGATATGTTCCCAAAGAGGATTTGAGGAAAGTTCGTATACTTTATTTGGATCAGGGAATCTATTCGACAAATTCAAGCAACACGTTTGGAACAACGTTGCCTACTGAACTCTTCATGAAGGCACTTTCCCATCATTGGAACCCGCGGAGTTGCGCCTCAGTGGCTTTGAAGCTAAGGTCAGAAAAGTTTCATGCAGAGACTTGGGGCTGGCATGAGTCAAGATGATGATCAGAGAGCTATGGTGGCTCTGCTGAATGGCTTCATGAAGTGACGAACCCATGGGCCAGATTCAGCATGGTCACCAATGATCAACCATCGATGGCCATGATTATAGAGTCATAGGATGTCATAGGCATGAATAGTCGGCTGATGATCCCACCTGACTCTTAAATTTGATACTTCTGGTGCTTCTGGTGCTTCTGGTATGCATCAAATCATTGAAACTAACTACTATCGAGAAAAAATGAGAAATTACAAAACACATCCCCTTCTTCATCCTGTATTTCTATATAGTTGTTCTTTGAATTTCTATCATGTTCATTCATTTTCGGTGGATTCTGATTTTCACTCTACAAAAAGATGGAGCTCATCTCCCACATGGGTTCCTCTCAGGTGCGGGGTCAGGAGCTGTTACAGGCCCTGGAGGGTCTGAGCCCTTGGGCGGATGCCAAGAAGATCCAGGAGTTGCTGAGGCTTCGCCAGGACTACTTTTTGGACTCGAAGTGGGACCCGGAAAGGTCCCGCTTTTCCTGTCCCTTGGCCGAAGGATGCCGAAGGGCTGGGCGATTGGGGCCGGGCAAAGGATTGGAGCCGAAGATTGGCCGAAGAAACTGAGTGTTGATGGGATGCTTCTGGATACAAAATGTCATAGTAGAGACTTAGAGCCTTAGAATTTAGAAATACTTAGAATATCTTAGAATGGCTTAGAGTCAGTATAATGAAGTTTCTGATGCGGTTTCGGTATGAAGAGGAAAAAAACTCCGTTTTTTTCATAAAAACATGTCAGGGATCAGGGATGGGATGGAATGGGGGGAAAAACCTGGAAATCTGAGATGGCGACAGCTGGGATGTCTTTTTGAAGATGTGAAATCAGGATGAGTCAGGTAGATGATTGAAGCCTGGGGATGGAACACATATATTCATGCATTGGGTGTGGGAGAAGAAAACCCGCAGGAAACCCATGTGTCTAACTGCCATGCGCGGTGATTTTCCACGAGGAGATGAAGATCCAGCAATCAAGGCTTTGATTTTGATCCATTCCAGAAAACATGAACATACTCTTTCATTCCCTTGTATAGCCGGAGTTTTACGGTTGAAACCGGTCAACACCTCAACTATCAACTTGAGATGCATTGCCCGGCTGGTAATTCAACACTTTGCTATGGTTTAAAATCACAATTGTTATTATGTAAACCATTGAACTGAATGGGCCATGGCTTCGATAGCAAACTATTAGTTTACTGGAGTGTGTGCCACCATTTTTGATGGTGGTTAAATCAATTGAGCCACGTTCAATACCCAGTTGTTCATTTTGTTGTAAGGAGCTCGTGCAAGCAAAACCCTGGTGTGCACAAGTCCGCGTAAGCATCAGCGTAAGCTAAATTCCTGCCCGTAAGCTGTGGGTGTGTAAGCTCTGGCGTAAGCATTCCCTTAGCGCCTTCAGAAAGACAAGACCTTTTGACCACGGCTCAATTTATGTTTATATAAATCATGTTAAATTCCATACGTATATACGTATATACGTATATATATATATTATATATATATATATTCTTATTATATATTTTTCTTATTTTTTCTTGATGGCTAATCCATGTGAATCCCAAGCTTTTCATGGTGAATCTCCATGAACTTCGCAGCTTCCCAGTGGATCCTTAAGGTGCTGAGCTGCTCCTCCAGCTGGTTCACGACAAACAGCGCTGGCCCGAAGCCGAAGTTTTGGCCTTGAGATGGCCTGACAACCTGGAACGCATGCAGCTGGATGAGAAGCCTGGGGGGATGATTCATGATGATCCGAAATTTCATCAGGGCTGGGCTCACCTTTTTCTATGAAAAGTAATATGGAAGGTTCAATTCATGAGGAAAATCATGGATTTTTTCAAAATGACATTTTGAGATTGGAGTCTACTGAGTCTACTGCTCGACTCTTGGGAGGTGCTTGTAGATGTATCTTAGATGCACCTTAGATGTACCTAGAGAATTCCATGCAGGTTTCAGTGCTGCTGATTTGAGCCCTAATGGTCAAACCCAACTCCACCCATCAGGAAGGCTCTCAGACTGAGTCTAGAGTCTAGAGGCATCAGGCCTTGCCATTTCAGAGGCTGCTTATCCAGCGACACGTCATCAAAGATATGAGAAGGTAAAAACACCACTATTGCCCAGATAGTGAGGCCGCAGGCGTTTCCATATTCCCGCGGATGAGGTTTTGATGGCTTACAGAATCTCCGTCATGACGGATGATCAACCCTGGATGATGATACAGCGGGTTCCTGATAACTTATGATTTACATCATGTTGAAAAATTCTCTTGAATCTATTAATTACTTATGAATACCTCTCTCTATATGTATATAGCAAATTATATATGATGGATGTGTGTGTGTGTCCGATAAAAGTATCCGTGTGATGATCCTCTAATCTCAACTCAGATTTGGCGCCCGAGGCTTGGTAACACCGGTGTCGAAGCCTGGTTGAGCCGTGCCAAGAGATG